CGATGAATAAGCATCGAAGCTTCGTTCTGTAGCTGTTGACGCGTACTGAACCATCCAGACGTACGGCGCAAAGTCGATTGTTAACCGGGATCCAATCGAGAAGTGAACGCTCGGCCTTGACACTTAGCGCAATCCCAACGCCAGCAACACCGCGAGCTTCGGATGCCTAATCGCCCGATACACGGAGAGTGAAGCTTGAGGATGAGGCCAGATCCGGAGAACGGAGGGAAATGACTGAAACAGGATCTTGTATGCGTGTTTCGGAGACATAGAATGCATCTAAACGGAAGGTTTCAAGGGTTCTAGCTAAGGTTGTTTCTTGACCGATCTGGTAGAATATGCCCACATTGAGTGCGGCTAAATGAAGAGGGGATTTTGGTTTCACAAATCTGGCAGCCTCTGAGTGGTTGACCTTATTTGTTGAACGCTGAGTGAAGGGTCTCGTAAGCAGGAGGCACCTGGGAATACTCGGGATTGAGAAGGACTAGACAGATGGGAAAGATGGTTTTCCAAATGGGTGCCTATGATTTTAGGGCACGGCATACTTCGTGGCAGCCTACGCCTACGAAGGGGTTTTTCTTTGGGAACCCTAACCGGAGCCTGTGACTCAAAAGTCTGTCCCGCAAGGCAGTGGGGTGTAAATCCAACTCGAGAGAGCGAACGGAGCACCTGTATGGGAGCTTCTAGAGACCTGTCACACAAGGCCTTTGAATTTCGATTAATAGTGTTGTTCGCTGGTGCGTTGATTATTGGTCCGCTTTTCGGGATCAGCCCTCACCCTCATGCATCCAATGAGACAAGCGGAATGTGGACGGGACAGCACCTTACTGGCTTGGGGCTGCCCAGCTTGGGCGGGCGGTAGCTGTCCAATAAAATGCGAAGACTTCTCCCATCGTCGAGAGGAAGCCCCAGGTACCCCGCTCCTTCGTCCATCTAGCGGATTTTTTTTACCGGTAAACTGCCCCTCACCGTGTTTATTTACTGGAGTGGCCTCTCCAGGGGCGAGTGTGGATGGAAGAAAGAGGCCAGGGGTTGCCCAAGCAGCTGGCTTTGTGAGACTGAGCTTTCTCTGGCCTCTACCCGTTGACCTTTCATGCATGATTGGATTTACGGCTGTGAGGAGCCATCCTGTGTAACTCGCAGGGTCATGGAGGCACGCAAGCCATCACACCACGTCAAGGTGCAGTCTCGTCGTGATGGAGCCATTGTATCACAATGCTCTCGCTGCACGACTACAAGGTAAACATCTGTTGTGTGTTCGAAGTGTGACTATCGACTTGTGACACAAAACTAATCAACGTACCACATAGCAACGCAACCTACCGGTTATACCACAACGGCCCAGGTGACAACTTCTGTTTGCACGGTGTAGCAATCACCATGAGCGGCCGGGCCAACAATGCCATGATCTCCTGGGAACCAACCTCCCCCAGGATTGCCATAGTGCACTTCAGGAGAAAGCCGTTTAACCTATCATCGTTGTATATGCTCCGACGTTACATGCGGAAGAGCCCATCAAAGTGGACTTATACAACCAAGTTCAAGACGCCGTGAACCGCAGTCCGAGACACGATATTCTCGTTATCGCAGGAGACTGGAATGCACGCACTGGTCCATCAGACGAACATACTCGACATGTTCTGGGGAAGTTCAGCCTTGGTCAACGTTGCGAAAATCGCGAACGCCCAGTCACATTTGCTGACCTTAACCGGCTGGTCGTGGCCAACACTCGTTTTCAACACCCCGAAAACACCTGCTTATGTGGTACTCAAATTATGGTCAAACGGCACACCAGATTGATTATGCCTTGGTACGTGCTCGGTGGGCATCTTCGGCGGAAGACTGCCGTTCATATCGCGGCTCAGAAACTGGAAACAGGAACGGTTCGGACCATAACCTTGTACGCGTCCGCTTCAAGATCCCCCTGACTACTCGCCGGAAGACTCGTCTCCCAGGCAAATTCAACGTCGCGTTCTTGGAACGACCTGAGAGAAGGCAGGCACTGCTGGACGCAGCCGCTTCCAACATGGTCGAAGCTTTCTTTGATGACTCAATTGTCGACGCACCGTGGTCTAAAATGAAAACGTCCATCAGAGAAGTGGCGCTGGGGCAGTTAGGTGAGATTTTCCGCCATAAGAGAGACTGGATCTCCGAGCGTACACTGCACTTCTCCGCAAAGGCAAGAGGTACGCGGCTGATCAGTTCTCCTGAAATTCGTATTCTCCGTCACCAAACCACATGCTCCGCCAAGAGTAATCGTAAACAATACTGGAAGGCGATTGCAAACAGCATGGAGGCTGCAATCGTCGCAGCGGACTTCGGAAAGTTATTCCGTCTTATTCGTGTCGCAGCAGGAAAGAAGCAAACATCGGGACTACTGTAGTGCAGCACCACAAGCCAACTTATTCAGAGAACTGAGCAAAAATTTGCAAAGTTGGGTTGAACACTTCGACGGGCTGCTCAATCATCCATCAAACCAAGCAAGATCTCTACAGGTGTCAAGCAGTTCGACTTACGACATCAATTGCGACCCACCTAGTACGAGAGAAATCCTCAACGCAGTCACTTCTCTGGAAAACAGGAAGGCCCCTGGAGAAGACGGGATGCCACCAGAGTTATTCATAGCGTGCTTACCAACTCTATTCGATCCGCTGCACTCTTTTCCACACCATTGAGGAAAGAGAAGATTTTCCAAAAGACTTCAGTTTTTAGTCCCGGTTCCGAAAAGGGATGACAGATCCAGGTGCGAAAATTACAGAGGTATTAGCCTCATTGGCATTGTGGCCAAATTATTTGCAGTGATACTGCTTAATCGCTTCGCAGGCATCAGAGATACCCACACTCGCCCGAACCAAGGGGGATTTCGCCGCGGAACAGGCTGTGTCGAACAAATCTTCACTCGCCGTAGGATTCTGGAACACTGCTACAAGTTCCGACTGCCTTCCACTACATGTTTCATTGAATTCCGCGCTGCGTTCTACTCTGTCGATAGAAAATCCTTGTGGTGCATACTGCGGTCCGACGGAATGCCTGAGAAGTTCACTAGGCTTTTAAAGTCATACTACTCAGGAACCCGGGCACGCGTCCTGTAAGGAAGAATCGGCTGAGTTTACTCTAAGCTCTGGAGTTAGGCAAGGATGTCCCCTATCGCCGGTGTTATTCAATTACACCGTAGATTGGATAGTGCGACAAGAACTCATCGACAACCCTGGAGTGCAACTTGGCCCAGGTACATGGATTACGGACCTCGAGTTTGCGAATGATTTCGTTGTACTTGGAGACACCATGGACAACCTCTACCTGTTGTCAATTGTATGAATCAGTTTGCCCAGTTCATTAGGCTGGAGATCAACACATTGAAAACAAAGACATTTTCGACCAAAACATCTGCCATGACACAACTCCTCTCGATTAACGTTGAGCTTGTCGAAGTTTTCAAGTATCTTGACTCTACGATAAAACCAAACGGTCAGGGTTCCATCCGCCTCATCCTCACTTACGGTTGTGAAACCTGGCCGCTAAGATTACAAGATAAAACGAAGCTCGAAGTCTTCGGTGATTGATGCTTACGCCGCATCTTGAAGGTAAATTGGAGAGATCGGATTTCCAATGATGAGGTTCGACGGCGCTACTTGAACATTGACAAGCTTTCAAAAATGGTACAACGCCGGCGCCTTCAGTGGTTTAGCCATGTGCTCCGAAGGCCCGACATTCAACTCTTGCGACAGGCTGTAACCCCCGCACCGTGCTGTGGATGACGTTGCCGACTCAGTGGTCAACTGAAGACCTGGAGTAGTACGCTCAAGGCGGATTTGGAATTACTGGGCCTTCAATCCGTGTATGAAATTCGCAACTGGAACCAGAACTGGGTTTCACACTTTGTCAACCTTGATAACGATAGTCATGCGTGAGTCGCCATCATTAGAGAAATCCAAGAAGTCGACTTATCCTCCCGCAGGAGTTAGTCGATCAAAAGTAAAAGTAAGTAAGTATACTCCTATGGTCGTTCCGAATAAACAACTCATGAAATCGGCGCTGGCCTTTGAAATTGGAACATTGTTTTGACCACCCTTGATTTTTTCCATCGACTACCTGTGTAGCACATGCCCCATACAACCTGCTCTATGGAGATCGACCACATGCTCCACTGGACGATCATGGCTACTTAAAAACTTAGCGCCTAACCTCAACATCTATTTTAGTCTTCATTTCGTAATCACCAAGTTTCTGCGCCGATAGCAGAACTGTCCGAACCGCTGCAACATACACTCGACCCTTCACTGACAGCCGGATGTCGCGTCGGCACCACAGATGTCTTAAATTGGCAAATACCAAA